TTCAGCAGCGCTCTGAGGGTTACTGGTGACAGGCTGCTCCAGGCTTACAGACGAGGAAGGTAGGTTTCCTCCGAGCTCTGCTGATTAGTCCTCCAGGCAAAGCAGAAACTCCTTTACTGCCAAAAGTTAAAATGAACTTGGGAAGACTGATGTGCAAAGCCTCAAACTGCCTCCTGCTTAGGCCTCCTATTCTGTTTCCCATCAGCGACCTGCTGCGAGAGGTAAGCTACGGGAAATGCCAAAAAGCAAAGCATGATTATGGGAAAGCATATGGATGGAAGGAAACAGCTCTCTCTCCAGCGTATCAACAGCACTGCACAAGCAGCTCTGGCCCGGTCCAAGCCTTTTGCTGTGAACCAGTGGAAACACCTCTGGCCACCCCATGACCCACCCCATTCAGCCCAAAGCAGGCCTCTAGCACAACCCCAAGCAGAGAAATAATTAAAGAATGAGACATGGCTAGTATTAAGTTCACAGTGCTCCCATCTCCAAGAGGCATATGTTTTCTAAGTGCTGTCAGTCACTTAAAGCACAGAGCTGAGACAAGCCGGACAAAAACATCCGCAGCTGTGAAAACACAGGTTTGCCAGAGAACTTTCTATCACAGCTGCTTAAACTTATTTCCTCCTCCTGCCTCTGCCTTCAAAACCCAGAGGTTTGGCTCTATCATTTTGCATTGGCTGCCACCTTGTGGCACGTGTTACCAAATACAACGCAAGAGCTGTCCCTTGCACCTCAGCCCTACAGCGACTTGGAAACAGCCACTGGAGTAACGTGCACCTCTTCTTCAGCTAATACCTGGGGTCTGTGCCGTGGACTGAATTAGGGACCCCTCTGCACGTGCCCAAAGGACAACACATTCCCAGCCATAGTATTCCATGAAATTTGGGATTAAGGAACAAACTGGGAAGTTTGACAGGAAGTTGTACCAACTTCTAAGCTGTTGTTCAAAGCTCTGCAAAAAGCAACCAGAAAGACCATGTAAATTAAATCCTTTCAACTGAGGCTCCTGAATTTCTCGGCATCCTTTTACAGTTCTCTTCAAAGATAAAGACTGGGATCCTCCTTGTCCCAAAAGAGGTATCATTTGCAAACTTTTAAGACACAAATTCAATGAAAGTAATTTCATACAGAGGACTATATCACAGGACAAAAAGAAAACGGGCATCTCTCACTGAGGGGAAAAAAAGGGAGACTTAACGCATTTGTTTTAAACTGTACCTCTGATTTTTTTCTCTCACAGCTGCCAGTGTAAAATAATGATGTTATAGCAGCTGCTACTACATATGTAATATTCTGGTAGAGGTCCCTGTTTGCCTAAGCACCATTTCTGAGCAAGCAAGGAGAAAAGATCCTAACCCACACTGGCTACTACTGAGCTCCAGTGCCACCCATGACTGAAATGATGAGTCTCCCTCCCAGCAATGGCAGCAAGGGGGAACAGTGCCACTGTCATGGTTTAGGCCCAGCCAGCAACTAAGCACCACGCAACTACTCGCTCACTCCCCCTACCCCGATGGGATGGGGGAGAGAATCGGAGGAGTAAGAGTGAGAAACACTCCTGGGTTGAGATAAGAACAGTTTAATAATTGAAATAAAGTAAAATGGTAATGATAATAATAACAATACGATAATGATAATAATAATAATGATATACAAAGCAAGTGATGCACAATGCAATCACTCGCCACCCGCCGACCGATACCCAGACAGTTCCCGAGCAGCCATCGCTGCTCACCAGCCAATCCCCCCCAGTTTATATACTGAGCATGACGTCATATGGTATGGAATAGCCCTTTGGCCAGTTTGGATCAACTCTTCTGGCTGTGCCCCCTCCCAGTTTCTTGTGCACCTGGCAGAGCATGGGAAGCTGAAAAAGTCCTTGACTAGCATAAGCAGTGCTCAGCAACGACTAAAACATCAGTGTGTTATCAGCATTATTCTCATACTAAATCCAAAACACAGCACTATGCTTGCTACTAGGAAGAAAATCAACTCTATTCCAGCTGAAACCAGGACAGCCACACAGGCAGCGGATGGGGATGCCCGGATGGCAGGGATGCAGGACAACCCCCGGGCACTGGGCAGGCAGAAGAGCGCTCACCTTGGTCTGCAGCTGAGGGGCCTTCCACTGGCAGCTCAGGGTCGCCGCTCCCTCCCTCTGCAGCATGCACTGCAAGGCAGCACCCACCGCCCCGCTGGCTCCCACCAGCAGCACCGTCTTTCCACCTGCGTGACATGAGGCAAGTTGTTCAGCCGCCCCCAGCTGCAAAGGCGCTAGCACCGGGCTCTGCTGGGCCACAGAGCTGCAGCGTCTACGTGAACTCCCCGCCTTTACCAGGCCACTCACTACCAAAGCCCTCCAGAAGAGCCAGCAAAGCGGCTCACGACAGGACAGCGCCGTGTGCCTGCACAACCGCAGCAGCTGTGGCATTACGGGCAACTCTTTCAGAGCCCATGCAGTAAGACAAACCACAGGTTTTAAGTTGTTTCCCAGCGACTCTCTAATGCTAGTAAGCAAATACTGCTCTTCTGGTTTTCTGGTATTTTATTTGCACAAATTCCTTCATTCTTATTTGTTACTAAGTACGTTTGACCTCCTGTTCTGTTAAAGAAATCCTTGTCTCAACAATTATGAATCACCATAAGAGAGACTACTTCTGAAACACTGCCTTAAACTAACAGCATCTTCACGCACTGTGAAGCTGCTTGTTTACACCTGCCATTTCAATGTTAGCATTTACACAGTACAACGCAAGCCCAAAGATTTTCTCAGCAGTTATTTACAGGCAGACCTAGATTGCTCCAACTGTTCACACTAATCAAAACTGTCAAGTGAAATCCCTAAGTGACGTTTGTATTTTTTCGTTTTGAAGACTCAGATGTCTTGGGTGGCTTCAATGAGATTAAATCTGCTGATGGAAGGTAATCCCTGCCTAATCTCCCAAATCCATAGGACTGAAACCCATTTCTGCAAATATTACATTCAGACCTCACTGAGGTTCCTCACTAACAGGAGGCAAATATACATTGGGTGGGAAAACAACACAAACCAGAAAACACAACAAGGTGCAATTATATTTGTGTCTCAGTCAGGACTAAAACCGAGAAAATTAGTTAGGCTAAAACTAACGTAGTAATTATGATAGAAGGTCTCACCTAAATCTTCAAGAAGCTCCATCACAGCACACGCTGTAGGAGGAACTAGACAGTCATAGGCATCGCCACGCACCAAGCGTCCTAGGTTTACATCAGATAATCTGCAGTGGAAAAATATGGCAATTTAAAAAAAAAAAAAAAAAAAAAAGAAGAGTTTGTGTAACATAAATCTTCAGTAAAGCTTGTAACATGGCCAACAGCTAATCCCAAAAGCAAACATGTCTCATAAAAGTAAATCCTTTGTTAGTCATCTACTGTGGTTAATTTGTATCATCCCACATCCCAATCAGACAAACAGTGAGCCTCAAGAGAGGCCAAGGAAAGGGATCTGTGAGCTAGAACAGGTAGCACAAGCCCACGATACACAGGCAGCTCTTTACTCGTTGCAGTGGGCTACCCACAGCACACGGGGCCAAAACACCTGAGTGGCTGCAGTGGGACCAGACCAGCGCTGCCAGAGCCAAGCTGAGCCGGAGGCAATGCATCCTCTGGGATCAGGCTGGCTTGCCGGGGGAACTCGGGTGCTCCCGTGCTGCACTGCGTTCTCTTGCATACACAAGGGTGCTCTGAATTGTCCATTCTCTGTTAATCTTCAATACTCCAGGTAATGGAAAGGTAACTAATTTGCAAGATTTTCAGGTTTTTTTTCCTGACATAGGAAAAAAAGAAAAAAATAGTAATAAAAGTGGGTAACAGTCTGCAGTTGAGAGCGAGAAGGCTGCAAGAGCAGCCAAATGGGAACCCAGACACCTAAATTATGCCAGTGGTCTCTCCAGAGAGCAGTGCAACTCCAGACTGATTGGAAAGTTGTGCTAATGGATCCAAACTATGATAGCCTACTCTCCCACCACGAGAGAGTGCCGTAAGGAAGTTAAAACCTTCTCTTCAACTTTTCCATCAGTCCTTCTCGTGAAAATTTTGTGTTCAGTACTTTGTGACTACCATTTGTATTACTGAAGTACTGAAATACCTTGAGTAACATCAGTAAATCAGAACTTCATTTTTGATTTCTTTGAAAAGACCATGTCCTGAATATACAGCATATAAAGATTAAAAAGATAATGATCAAAATTACTTCAGCAAAAGACTTCTCATTGATTCAGTGGCATCTTTTATCACTACTCAGCACAGCTAGACACATTGACTGAGGAATCCATTAATGAAAAGCACAGGGGAAAACTGATTTTACAGAGCCATCAGCCTTGCGTCTGCTAATATTATTTCTCAGTGCTTCACTTACCCATCTACATCCTTCTCTGGTTTCACAGCGTTTAATACCTTCCTGCTATATAAGCTTTCTGGGAGGTCAAGGGCAAGGCCCTGCACATTGGGATCCTCATTAAGTCTCAAGATTTCATTGACAATCTAGGAAGTTAATAAAAGGCATTAAAGATCAGAACAACAGACAAAAGAAGAGTCTAATTAGAAGGCGATACAACCTATATTTTAAAACTACCTCATTGCCACCTTTGCTTCCCTCATGTATTTCCGCAACTTCTAAATGAAAAAGCAATAACCCACTTTCTTTGTTTCACATTTCCATGGCGTACCAAATTAAGCCATTCTGACTCTAAGTATTTTGCAAAGCCAACACATATTATGTGACATTATGCTGCCCAAAGCATTTTGTCTTTCAACATTCCAAATCTCAGCAAAAGCTTGACACCATAACAGCTTCAGAAGATGCTTTTAGAAATAAGAAGCCTTGGTTAAAACATAGTTCAAAATAGGACCAGATCTCGTCCCAACACAAAACATGGGCAAAAAGTTGTAACTCTGGAAAAAACACCTATCCAAGAGAAAATTAATTTTATTTAACCAGTATATATTGTTACCAATTTTCCTTCTCAAAACACCCTGATCCTAAGAGCTGGCAGTCATCTTGTGGAGAATTGTTATTTTGAAAAGGCACTGCACAAAAAGTTATGAATTTCAAGTACTGAACCAGATGCGAGTTCAAATGTTTTATAATTGGTCGTATTTGACATCCGAGACTGTACTACCTACCCTTGATTGCTTCATCTCTAAAGTGCAATGCTGATCCACAGCGATATATGCTATTCTGCTGTGACCATGAAGAATACAATGGAATAAAACACGCTGAAGTTTTCTCATGTGAGAAATGTCATGTGAGCACGTCTTTCCAGCATATAAAGAAAATTGGCGTGCAATTATTAACTGGATTAATACCCAACAGAAAATGAGTACAAGTTTGGTTTTTTTTTCCTTAGCTAATACCACAACTTCCTAAAATGCTTTTCATGTAAAATATTCAATATAATTGTGAACTCTATTGCCCAAACACTTGATACGCAATCAACATTAAGCTAGGGCATTTTGGTAGGGGTTAGATTGTCTGCAACTCTGAACCAAGAGAACATGCTACATTCACATTAACAAAGATTATACAGTATGTCACAGGTATAGAAATGCCCCTTTAGTCTGCTGACTTCTGAGACAGAAACAGGCATATATATTAAGACCCTGTGCCATTTGACGGCAATAGGGCTGGTATACATTCTAATAGAAAGTAAGGATGAGTGTATACACCAGAATATGGATGTGAAAACATCCACATTTTGCTTAAAAAATCCTGAGATGCTACAAAATGTTGGGGGCCTACACAGCAATTAAAGGAAACATCGTTCATAAATAGCCTGAATCTAATGAACTTTGAACTAAATTGCTGCTTCCTGGGAAAATAATTCAGTTTTTCATTTTCATTACATTTTACTTGAATTCAGCTTTCCATAATCACAGCACTTAAAATACTTACAACTCATGCAGGGTAAAGCAATCTTATTAACTTGCCTTTACTGTCCACAGGCAGTTATGGCAGAACACAAAGTGCATGGTACTGAAATCCCTCCCACCTTCCCAAACCAGAGAATGTGAGCATGTGGATTTTAACAATTGAAAAAAAGCTTTGTCGTAGTGAGCAAGCAGGAGAGTAAGCAAACCGTTATGAACTTTATTGAAAGAAACTTTCTTCAAATAACAAAAATACCCTGCTTTTCTCTTTACATATGCAGCTCAGCACTTCCTGAGACATTACTTCAAAGTAACGGCAACTACTGCTGCATACTCACTATATTTTACTGATTTCCTACTGCCTTACTCAGCAGATAAAACGCATTTACCAACAGCAAAGTGTATTAGATCTTCATTTCAAAAGTGCACCCTTCTTAAATGGGTAGCTGACTATTCATCAGCCACAGAACTGGACTCCTAAAATTCTTCACAGTAAGTTCCTCACAATATATCTGGAAACTGTTCTTGAGATGCAAGCCAGTAACATTTTAAAAACAAAGTGTACCAAATACAAAACAGTACACAAAACCCACAAGCCTGCAGGATTACCAAGTTTGCCAAGCACAAGGAGGCCAGCTGGAAACAGTGGCATCTTTTACTACACATTCCTTTGCTGTTTTTACTTTCAGATGTCTTGGAACCATATATTTTAATATGGTTTGCTATATTTAAAACATACTTGATACTACTGCTGTGCCTCCAACCTAACGCCTTCAACAAGGTAAGAATTCAGCCCTCTAGTGATTTGGGGTGGATGATTTTTGTAATATGTATATACTTTAAGCATTAGAAGATCAATAAACAGGCAAATAAATTCAACCCCCTCCCTCTCTAAATCAATTAATCTTTAATTTCCCTGAGTAACTCAGGCAAGCATCAAGTAGTCACAAAAGCAACTGTGGGAGATAGGATGTGCACGCTGGTATGAGGGGGCAGTGCAGTTAAATACCAGACATGAAACCAAAACATTACCCTACTGATTCTGCCTCATCTTGCCAGGGGACAGCAGACAAGCTTATTAATTCCCTTGTTCCCCCCCACTTACCAATAGGGGGATAATACTTGCTACTTGAACAAAAGCAGTCCCAACCCTAATTTGAGTTAATAGAGATCAGTTCAAAGTGATACGGAATGTCAGCAATAAATACAAGTTTATGACGAAAGTAAAAAAGGAAGAGTCCTTCAGGTACTGCCATTACCTCATCCTTGCTGCTGCCTTCTGGGAGACAGATGTGAATAACACGTAGACCAACCTGCCAAAAGAAAATAGTTGTAATTACCAAAGGCAACCAGCTCATGATTAATAACAAGTGCATCAGCTAAAGCTTACCTCTTCGGCAAATTTCTTGTTTGTTTCTTGAATCAAATGATCATTATGTGCCTTAGGGAACAAAACAGAAACTAAGTTTTAAAATAATAAATTAACATTTAAAAACGTGAGTGCGCTAATGCACAGGTCTATGCAAGAAGACAGTGAGGATATCTGTGCCTACTAGTATTCAAACAAATAAAAAGCCTAGCAATTCTAAGAAAGAAGCAGAAGGCCATCCAGTAAATTTATTTTGGCTTGATTAGTTGAAGTGTGTGTTGATATTAGCCTGGCTTTTATAGACAAGAGTGGCCATTTCCTTAACGTAAGTTTACCGTTTAAGAAAGGTACCAGTCTGTATCTGAAGACACCATTCTCCATCCAGCCACCTGGCAAGGATGAAATAGGCAACAGCAGTACCAGCACTTCCTGCAGTACCCCCATATCACCTAACAACACTGGTTTGCCTTGCCACCAAAAATGAGGCAAATCATTATCATCAGGTATTACAGTGAGTTCTCTCGATACAGAAGCAAGAGAAGTTATCAGTTCCTCCCAACTGCCAGCAGGCACCTGAGCTAGGACAGAAGCATCTCCTGGGCAGATTTACCTGGGAGACCATCTCACCCAGGAATCCTCCTCCCTGAGGTCTCTACAGCACCATATATATTACAATATTTAATCGGAATAATTACAATTGAATTTTACTCTTCAAGTTACTCTTGAATCTTAGGAGGCTCTTCAAATATTCTCGTATTATTGCAACAATAAAACTTAGAATTGAATATCCAGGACGAGAAACCTCCTACCAACAGAGCAGTGAGGGTTCCACCCTCAAAAATGTTAGTGGCTTCATAACAAAATGAATAATACATTTCTCATAGCTATATGATTATATATAAAACCTGTCTTCCAGCCCAGACCAAAATAAACCATTTTAAAAGGGTTTGTTACAGTTTCATGAGCACATTCTATGTGGCTTTTTCCACAAGACTCAGCGCCGGTGACTCCCCGTCGGAGTTGAGCCACTCACTTCGTGGTTAGTGGCCAGCGCTGGCTTCCACTGTCACTAGCATCACCCAAAATTATTTTGGTTCGAGCCTGTAACAATTTACCAACCTGTTAATCCCAAATGGTTCAAGACTGCTGACAATGAAAAAAAGAGCATTTAAAAGGACAGGCCCCGTAGAGAGAGGCGGCTCCTGAGAGGAGATGAGGGCTTGGCCTGCATCCCCCGGCTCCCTCCCCTAGCCCAACACTGCCTGCCTCCCTGGCACTGTACTACCAGTCTCTCACTCCCCAAATCTGGCAGCTGGGGACAAGGGGCAGCAGAGAGGCTGCTGCATTGAGAACACATGTGGCGCTCATACTGTGGCGAGGGAAGAAGAGATGGGATTAAGGACAGCTCAGCAGCTGCTCCCCTGTGCCAGTAGATGTAGAATTGCATCGCTGCACTGATGTGTAACCACCAGGACTGCTCGAGAGGTGTAACTGGCATTCAGCCACCAGCAGTACCACGCTGTCCCCCGTAACGCCCCTGCGGCACCGACCAGTGAACACTCACCTCGTGCGGGTGACAAAAAGAAAGCCCCTGCCCTGAACCGGTTCCCAGCACAACCCATGGAGCGGCACAGGTGAGGCCAGAGCTCAGGACGTGGGTGACAGAGTGCAGGGGCAGCAGGGGAGCCGGCAGTGCTTCACTGAGCTTTGCAGGGCAACAGCTCCCCTGCTAAGCAGGACCCTGCTGATATATTTCAGTTTGCAGCTTCAACAAAATCAAGAAGGAGCCACCAATCATCTTTTGCTGTTGCGCATCTCCAACTGAGGTTCAACACGGATAATAAGCAATGCAGATATCAGTCTTGGTATCAGTTCAGGTTTCAGATGGCTTAAGAGGAAAACAACGCATCCAAAACCATTCCGGAGCAGGCTCAGTCTGCAAATCCTCATTCCCAGTACTGTTGCAGAGGTGGTGCCACATTATGCTGACTGCTGTTACGAGCGACTGGCAAAGGAGATCATTTTGCTGCCCTCCCTCTGCTCTTCTGGGTGCAACGCAGCATGTGGAGAGCAGCATGAATCTTAAGGCTCTGCCCATGTTGCCCAGTAGAGCAGTGCATCACAAGAGCAACTGTAGACTAAAACAAGTCTTCACTGTACGAACAAGTACACATTTTAAATGAGTTCTGCTTCAGTCCTTACAACCAGACTAGAGCTAGGGTGACTGACCGCCGGAGAATATCGTTCGGGTGAATTTCATCCAGAAGGATCTAGGCCACATGTTCCTACAGCCACCTCATGATGCAAACCAAGTGGGGTAAACAGGGACAAGAGGGACATTCATTTAAAGCACAACCATGATCAAAACCAAAACACTGATGCAGATGTATCCCAAATTATATTAAAAGTGAGCAGGAACTTCCCCCTCCTCACACAATGCTCTCTCCCATCCTAACGATGTCCCTTCCCTCCTGCCAGCATAAAACACTCATGTGGCCATGCCGAAAACCAGACTTGGGGACTAACGTGGCTGAAGGGAAGCCTTCCCAGGCCCCTCCAGGGCAGATCACTGCCCTAATCCAGCTCAAGGTGCAACTGGGTGGAGACAAGACAGGGGTGAGACACAACAGGTCACTGAGAAGATGGGTCACTGCTTTTCTAGCAGTCCTCAAACTTATAGCCTTAGAGGGCTATTTGAAAACATTAACTGCAATTACCGGGGAGGGTAAGAGATGGGAGAGCTTGTTCAGTCAGCCTCACTAGAAGACCTACTGAAATAAAGTTGGTGCTGCATTTCTTAGATTCACTATTAGTACTTAAAAAATATTTATAGTTAGGTTTTAAAATTAAAACCTACTGGGTCAGAGATTCAGTGTGCGCCCACTCAAAACCAACATCATCGTCCTAGGAAACAGGACAAAACCATTTTTGCCTGCACAGCTCTGGGTCCCACTCTGAATGACAAACATCCCCAGTTTCTTGGCCTTGAAACCTTAAGAAATCCAAAGAGGAACATCCCTCAGCTTTGCAGGGATAGCAATCCTCATCTATGAGTTTGATTGCCTATCTCAAAGACGGCAGCGCCAGTGGGATGGAAAGGAAAGCTCTTCCCGGCATTAGTAATACAACAGCTCTCAATTACTATGAGATTGCTTCACCTTAGAAAGCGTTGCTGCTTCTAAAGCATACTGACATTTTACACAAAGCATTTATTTCACACAAGCCCTTTTGAGCTGACCAGGAGTTTTCAGTGTCATTTTCCTCTCCTTTGGACAGCAGTAACGCAGTCATAAGCTACAGCTGCCCAAAGGTACCAAAGCTGGCAGGAAGCAGCAGGATCTTTCCTTAACCCTGGCAATGTTATTTCAGGCACGTGAACGCTTTTTTCAGGACAGCAACAAAAGCTTCAAGCTAAATAAAGGTTGAGAACAACTGCTTTGACTTTAAGTATGTCAATCAACTTAGAAAACCTGTGAGAAAAGGCGATCTGTACTTACAATGGGGAAGACTGCCTTAGCAACCGGAGGAAGGGATAAAATTGTTCCCTTCCTTTGCAAACCTTTCCCACAGCCTGAAGTTTGCAGTGGCTGTTTCAGGCCTGGAGAAGGGTTATGGACTGAAAACTCCTCAATCTACAGTCTGGTGGGATTACCTCCACCTACCACTTTGCTTGAATAAAAGTTACTTTCTGCATCAGGCACTTCTGAAGTTTCAGACAAGCAACGGTACCGAAGGGGCTCACAGCCCGCCAGCATACAAACATCCTTTACCTGAATGATGGCAAGCGTTGGCTCAAGCCGAGGGTTTTGTCTCTTAAGAGAGGCCAAGGATTTTTTGGCATTCTCGATGATTTTGCTGCAACACAATAACGACAGGCAAATCTTTAGCAACATAAACCTTTGTAACACCAGTCGGCAGAAACCTGTGTTAGTCAGCAATATGGAATAAATGCTTAGGTGCGTATGCTTTTAATCATCAAAATTACCCACGGATGTAAACTGTGAAGGCTGGTGTTCAGCAGCCAGAAAACCCTAACAAACCAAAATACCTTTGTTTTACAGCTATGCGTGTCACCGCTCCGACGTGCTCAAAACTTTATAGCTAGCCTATGCTATTTCACGAGAAGGCTTGTCCAGCCCCACCATGGGAGGTGCAGCAGGGATCCACCACCCCGAGCCCTCGGCTCAGGTGGGTGCTTCGTTTCCATACCCCAGGCCCAGGTGGTGACAGAAGCAGAGGCCTTTACACCTGGGGCCGCTACAGCCCCCCCCGCGCCCCCCCCCCCACCCCCCCTGCCACTTCTCATGGATGCTATTCAAAACCGTGGGCAGCGGGGAGACAGAGGAGCTCTGTTTGCCACGCCGCCTCTTGGAAAAAACAGCGGCAGCCAGGCACTGGAAAAATTTCTGGGTAATTGGCTGCCAGCTCTCTTCTGTTACCTTCTGCGCATGCAGGCGATACTTACCCAGCGGGGGAAGGAGGAGACGCCGCACAAAGTAGGAGACTCCCTGAAAGACGTCTGTCTGTCTGTCCCACACAGCAGGCATAACCAGCTGGGGAAAACACAGCCTAGAGCGGATTTTTGCTACCTCATACCCTCCCCCTCGCAGAAGCCAATGCCCGGTTCAGG